TCGTTATTTAGCTCGTATACCCATTCACACACAGCCACATAAGCTTCTGTTGGACTCACAACACGTTTTACTGCAAACTTTCTATGTAAAAGAATTGTGTCATTTTTTATGCTCATCTTTCATTGTTTCATAGTAACACATATGTGCAACCACCCTCAAACTAGTGAAAAAAAATCCTACTTTTAATAGTATCAGTTTCTGACCGTAAACTGACTAGTATGAAATATGTCAGACTTTTACCAGTTGCATTTTAATTTTTTTTAAAGACTTGCCTATTCCTTATTTGACTAAATTTTCATCTTAAAAATTCCTAATATAAATCACTAAAATGTATATGAAAACAATCGACTATAAGGAGATAACGCCTGACTGAGCGAAACGGTAACTCTACAAGGAGCCTAATTAAACCGAACACTCTTACTGTTCGTATCGAAATCAAACAACCGCCATCATGGAATTGTGTTTACTTCGAAGCTAGCTTTGGAGTACATATTTTTTAACTACAACTCTTATTGAACTCCAGGTAGTGTAGATGTCATGACGGTGATAAGATTATAAGGTAATGTTCAGCATATCGTTATTATTTCAGCTGGAGAGGTAAGGCTAGAAAACCACTTACATTGAGATTTGAAAAAGCATTTTTCAATTTATTTCTACAATATATTTAATGATTTCTCTAATCTGACAGACTAACATTTAACACGCGAAAAAGCTGGATATTAATATTTCGGTTTCAGCTGAATTCAGTCATCCTTATCTGACTGTTTTGCTAGCTTATTATACATACATACTTTTGAAAATGGCTGGTAAAATGTTGGACATTATTTTCTAGCGCTTCATAGCTCTCATAAACAATATTTCAAATGGCTTAAGCACCAGAGTACTAAAGAAGAGTAAGCGTTTCAGTGCGACTAAGGGATTAAGTTATAATACCAACACTCGCACTTGCACATGTATATACATACATACATATATACTTTGGGTGTAAATTATTAATACCAAGACTGGTGCTATTTTGTAGAATATAATACTTGTGCATATATATAAATGTTGTCTTCAACAAACACGTTGCAAGTTAGGGTACTAGTTTTGAACTAGACTGATATAAACTAGTTTGTTTTTTTGCCTAACTTATTGTGCTACCTGCCAAAATAATTTAGCCACTGTTTTTTTTTAAACTACAGTTTTGATTCAGAATTACGATATAGCAAAAAATATTTGCAGCATATATTCAAAGACTGAATGGATCGCCTTGATCTATTGTAAAGCTCTCTTCGGGTTCATTGAACCTCATACGAAATCCATATTTTATGAGATTTGTCTTGTCGCCGGCTGTCAAGTAATACCTGCTACCATGCAGAAGATCTTGGGATCAGATTTCAGTCAGCCATTTTACTATTTTATGTTTATATTAGAAAAAAAATAGTTTTCCTGCGAATGCTGTGTTACAAAATCTCTCGTTCCCATTATAAATATTTTCTGAGTAGTGGACACGGCGTCCAAAAAGATTGAAATGTATCTTGGGCAATTATTCGATATCCTTTTTTTATAAAACAAAAAATATTTAGACAGAGTCTTACTTTCGGTGCAATTTTCAATTAACAACACCTCGCTGAGCTTTAAATTAAACGTATGTACTCATAACATGCCAGCTACAACAACAACTTTTGACAGCATATCGCTCTTTCAGTCGGTTATGCGGCCGGAAGGTATGTATTAATGCTGGCTCGACCATAAAATAGTGAATAGTGACGACCTTCAGTGGGTTCGATCTCGGACTAAGCGCAGTGCGGACTATCAGTGGTTCTCGAAATCAAACAATTTAAAAAGTTCTTATTACTTCGTTAATTGTCTCAATTCAGCAAGGCGCCAACCTTAATGTTACTGTATTCAAAGCTGCCAATAAGCAATTTTTTAATGGAAAAAATCTCTTGCTTACGGCCACTGAATCCCTTTAATTTGAAGGAACGTACATACATACACGTGCACGTTTATATGCAGCCCACAACTCACGACCAACACAACGCTTGTCCTGGTTATTCTATATACACAGTTATCTATGTACGTGTATGTCCTGTGCATTGCATTGTCTCCAGTGTCCTATATAAAACCAGTGTGTGCCCAGCGCTGTCATTTTTTCAGTCTACTTGCGTGCTTGCGCCATGAATTCCCAATGTTTATTTGCGCTGTTTTGTACATATTACTTGAGTAAATACCCATATTCAGCAAAAACATAGATACGTGTATGTAGTATGCATGCGTATGTAGTTGCTATGTGACTTTGTTGTATTCATACATACATGCATACATACATATATTAGTTGGATTTTTATTTTCATGTCAAGTAAACAAACCATATTTTTCTTTGGTTTATGTATTTCTGTTGTGCACCCATATTTATTTGCATATTTCTTCGTGCATTATATACGTTTCTCTTTCCTTTTGTATTGACAAATTATTTTTCTTTTTTTTTTTTTTTTTTTTTGAGAACAAAGTGACGTTAAAAAAATTTTTTGCACTGTGAAAGTCAAAGGAAATTAATATTAAATATTCTGTATGCTCGTAAGTATTGATATGCATATGTAAGTATGTATATATACAATAATTTTTCTCCAGCGACATGGAAATTCCTTAAGCAATTGGGAATAAAATTTTTTAAAAATTAATGAAAATTCTATGTTCTCCTGGTAAAATTTCATACAGAAAATGTCTTCGTCTCTGTTCAAGTCCTGCAAGATGTTCACACCTCTCTTCATTCCTACTCGCTTAACGGACACTATAACGTTTTTTAATTCCAAATTTTATAATAATTTTGTGAACACTTTGTCACAAGGGTCAACAACGGTAAACAGTAAATTACTGTTTTTTGCTCGCTTACTGTTTTGTATATTTACTGTTATGACAACCTTTGCTACCATTTTGGGAATTAGCTGAGTTAATTAGATTTTGTTGTCAGCGCCAAGATGTTTAGGGGAATACATATATATTTGTAACGGTATTTGTTGTAAAAAGTAAAAAAAATTGTGGCTGTATTCATGATTAAACGTAAGTAACGGAAAAAGAAAGTGCCCTGAAAATTAAAATATTTCTAAAAAAAAAATTTTAACAAGAGAAAAATGATTTTAGAAAAGCTTGTGTAATCCTTGACTAAATTGTTGGATTTCCAAATAAAAGCAAATTAAGCTGTTTATGTAAAAAAACGGAAACATTCGTAAAAATTTTAAATTTATAGTGGTTTTATGAAAATTTCAGGTGTGTAAGATGATATATATACAAACATATATATTATCATTATTATATATATATATAATTGCCGCTTTGTAAACGCTTAAGCGATTTTCGGCCGTACTTCTCTTCTAATGAATGGTTTTGCGTATAGATGTCCTTCCAGCAAATGAAGTAAGCGTATAACTTATTCTAAGCTGCTTCCTAGCGGCAAATGAGTTTTTGTGAGGAACATTTTTTTCATGTCAGAAATAAACTCTGAAAGCTTCACATGCCCTATCAAAGGCCGACCGCAATTAGAAAAAAAAATATTTTTTTATAAGGTATCGAAGCCTGGCCTAAGAAGGGCAGTACGCAATGCCAATCACTTGTCAGTTGAAATCAGAACTAGAATCAGATATTGAAAACGCATTATCAACCGTAATCAAGACGATAGGTATCTTCCAAAATAACAAGAACATCGCTCTACAACGAATCTCGGACAATTTGGGGACATTGTCTTCATACTATACACTAAATCCAGTATTTTACGATATTCATGTGGTACTAAATAAATTTGGCGAAAACAAAGCTTGGCATTTTGCAAATTGCTTCCATGTCATATAAGATATATTACATTAAAATTTCACTTTTTCAAGAATTAAGACTGAATCTTTCATCATTAAACGATGCTTTTAACTGAGCTACCAACCTGAAGATTCACTGATAAACCCGAATGGGAAGACATGTAGGCCAACGTTATAGTATAAAATATAACTTTGACGGTACGTATACGGATGCACTTAAATACAATGGAATTTGTGAATGACTTCTTCAGAGGATTTATTCGAATTTGATACCCGCTGCATAAAATCTATAATTAAAACAAGCGCTTTTAACCATCTCTCAGTAAATGATTGATGATCATAGAAGTCCCAATGAAGACTACTCAAATAAAAATAAGTCAATTTGGCGTTTACACCCCCGACCTTTTGATAATAGATACTTAACGAGTGTTTATATATTGGCTTTTTGGTCTCTCCTTCGGTCGGAGAATTCGATACATTTTCCCTAATCGTTCTCCGTTTTTTCAATTTTTTCTTAATTTCTTTCAAAAAAAAATATATTTTCGATTTAAAATTAACACAACAACAATTTGCAAAGGCAAAAAAATAACAAAAAATAATCTCAAAATTTCAACAACTGGCAGTCGAGGATCTAATGAAACTTCAAAGGATCTATGCATCTGAGATTATAATGTCGGAGTGGATCCTGAGTGCTTAGCACAAGGTCTTGCGGTTAATCAGCAGTCTCACCTTGAGTCTATGCTCCGGATACGTGAGATAATATCAAAACTAAACGTTTTTTTTTTATGCCAAAAGGACTCTGTGATTAGTCAATGTATTCACCAAATACCCATTTTTACGGCTTTTGGCTGTTCTCATAATAAAACCATTGTTTTTCAGGGTTCAAGGGGACTTAAATCAAATTGTTAAAGATGTATGTATATAAATAAAGAAAGTTATTATTATTATTATTATTATTATTTTTTTTTTTTTTTTTCTTGTTATTATTATTATTATTTTTTTTTTTTTTTTTTTTTTTTTGAAAATTAAAATTTAACTCAATTTCTGAGCAGATCTCATGAAATTCTCTCTTTCTTTTTTAAATTACTTTAGCCTCAGTTGACCAGGTTGCGCTACAAGACATTTCTTTTAAAGCGTGTTTTGTGAATATTATCCAAGAATTTGTCAAATTTTACCAGTAATATAATCAGAGCATATTTTTGCACTCACCTGGTTTAAAGCCGTCACCATGCTCGTGTGTGGAGATGAATTGCAGGGTTGTTAACATGAGGCATAACAAAATCGACAAAGCGCGCTCCATATTTGTAAATGCACTTAATTTAAACTGTTTATTGCTGTACTTGCTTATATTCAAATAGTCCTCCTTGCAATACACAAAAATAGTGGGCTATAGTAGGAGCTAAGTGTTTTTTGTAGTTGTTGTGTGATTGTGTGATGTAATCCTGTTGCTGGCTGCTTTTGTTGACACTATTTCATTTTGTTAATTTTTTTTTTCTTTAGGTAGGAATTTTCAATTGAATTTTTAATTAGCTTCGAGTTTTTTATAATAACCAATTTAATTAATTTGCTTATGTAGTTGCTTTGTATTATCATATTATTTTTATTTGCTAATTAAATTTGTGCCTCATTAGATATTTATTTTCAAATTTATTTCATTATAAAGAATGTTATGTGTGTTGTTACATTTTATGCGATTTTGTAGTTACTAATTTTTCTAATTAATTTTAAATCCACTCTGCGCTTGATATTTATTATTTCTATTTCTATTTTTATATTTTTACACTGTTTTATTAATTTTCATTAACCATTAAAAACCAAGCAGCGTTTTCCCAAAATAATTTTATACAATATTTAGCGAAAGATATTTACTGCCTGTGGATTAATATTTAGCTGGCACAATGCTATGCGTTTATTTTTTCATATTTTGTTATTTGAAATTTTAATTTTAACGCATTGTTTGTGCAATGCTGGACGGTTGGTTGGCAGCCACAAGCTTTCAACTTGCCAAACTCACGCTGTGACATGCCTGACATATTCATACACACATATGAACTTGTATTTGTTGTTTATACACTCACACACCTGCTTGCATTTATTATTACGGTTTAGTTGAAATATTTTTCCCAAGACACTTGACTGCACACGTGTCATATGTATGCATATGTGTATGTATGTATATTGTTAAATTTTAATTTATATATCTTTTCACACTTGCCATTTTTTACCAAATATGTTATTTCTGCTTTTTACACCAAGCAACATACCACATTGTTGTTATTGGAGTTTTAATGCAAACATTTTTTGGGTACAAAGACACGCCTGAACATCTGTCGCTGTCATTGACATACTGTAAAAAATAGAATATGTATGTGCATGTGAATATATTTGTATGTAAAGGCGTACAAAATACATATATATTTGTTTATATTTATTACGTTGAAAATTTTCTGTGGCATCTAAGGTATGCTGCACGAAGGTAGTGGTAATATTGGCACTCATTATAATTTCACATAAAAATTTGCACGTGCCGCACTTATCAAACTAACACATGCATAAATAAATTTTACCCAACACCTTGGTACACACATACGCACACACATAAAACCCATAAGCATACAAATGCATTTAAGCACTTACACTTTCATTTCCCCATATCCTCGTAATAATTAAACTTTAACGAGGGCCCAACACTCATGCTGAATGGCACCATGTTATGTTAACCGTAGTCATATGCATACCTACATGAGCGTATACTCAAATATATATGTATGGCTAATTCTACAAACTGAGATAGCACTTCCAAGCAGTTTTTGAGTAATCCCCACCACTTACACACATGCAAGAGCTTTTTGTTGAGTTGAAACATTCATACATAATATGTATATATGTACGTATGTATATAGCAGATTTCCAACTAAAACAACTCAGTTTAAAATGATTTTTAATAATATGTTACTGATATATATACATAAACTTTGTATGCAAATTTAACTAAATTTATTATTACATGTGTCATCGGAAATTACGTAGCGTAAAAAATAATACAAACAATTATTTTGGCTTTACTTTAAAAGCTCACAGTAACCGCGGTTTTCCGCTATGTATGTACGTATAGTTAAGAATATTTGAAACTAAGACTGCTGCCTCCTCTCCATCTGATCTTTTCCATCTACTTTCACCAGCGGATATCGTATCGAAAGCTTTCACAGTGTATCTGTTACAGGTCATCATGTCATCATTTCATCGCCTGCGGTATGCGCCTACTTTTATAAAATCTTTTCAGGGACACTTATATTGCCGACTCATCGATTGTCGACCTCGTCCACATTCCAGCATATATCACATCGATTTTTATGAACATCCTGTAGATTTTCGTTTATGTTAGTGCATAAAGGACTTCAATTGCCTTCGAATGACGACTTTATTATTGGTATTAATGCTAGTCTCAAGACCGACTGAAATATTCTACGACTTCAAAGTTATGATTATCGACTGGTCAACAGGTGTGTATCGATTATTTTGGTGTATATCTAGTCAGTGGTAGACAGTGGCAGATCGAAAGGTATATCGATAATAGGAATGCTATTAGTGCCTTGATAGTGGGATTTTTCACACAGTAAGCTAGACAAGACGATCTTATATGAGATATGGAGATGAGTTATGGTACGATAGTTGGCACTATATGTGCCATTTTGTAGTCTGGCAGAGCACAATCAGCATCCAATCGTTCTATAAAAACATGATATCATTTAAAACGACGCATACTTTTAAATAACTAAAACTCGACAAAGAAATGCCTTAAATTAGCCTCAAACTTTATTAAACTGCTGAACAAATATTCTGTAAGAACTTTTGTACCCTTCGAAAATTTGATTTCAGGCGTGTTTTCCGGTATACTATCCCGAAGATTATGCAACTATAGAATAAGTGATGTTTTTTTTTGTGATATCATTTCTTCAAGCATATATAAGATTGTCAAATATCTCCCTTCCGCTTTTTTGCTCTTCATTCAATGCTTTATAAAAAGTGTTACAGTTATCGGATTTGGTTGAAATATGCGCCGTTTTGTTCGATGATCTGTTTCCATCTAGACGGCAACTTCATAATACCTTCCTCGTAGAAGCCCTTCTCCTTATTTGCGAAGAATTCGGACAGCCACTTTTCACAAGCCTCTTTTGAGTCCAACTTCACACCACCAAGGGCATTCGCCACGGACAGGAACAGGTGGTATTCACTTGGCGCCACATCCGGGCTATATGGTGGATGCGATAAAACCTCCCATCCGAGCTCCCGTAGCTTCTGACGAGTCATCAACGAAGTGTGTGGTCTGGCTTTGTCCTGGTGGAACACTACACCTTTCCTGTTGGCCTATTCTGGACGCTTCTGGTCGATCGCCTGCTTCATTCGGTCCAGTTGTTCGCAGTAGATGGTAGAATTAAGCGTCTGGCCATATGGGAGCAGCTCATAGTGGATGATTAACTTCCAATCCCACCAAACACACAGCAAAACCTTCCTGGCCGCCAATCCCGGCTTGGCCACTGCTTGGGACGATTCACCGGCCTTCGACCACGACCGTTTTCGATTGATATTGTCGTATGTGATCCATTTTTCGTCGCCAGTCACCATCCGCTTCAAGAATGGGTCGAGTTCGTTCCGTTTCAGCAGCATATCGCAGGCGTTGATCCGGTCCAGAAGGTTTTTTTGCGTCAAATTATGCGGCACCCAAACATCAAACTTTTTTTTTTATCCAGACTTCTGCAGATGGTTCCAAATGGTTTGGTGACTAACTCCCATCTCCTTAGCGATGTCACGAGATGCCATATGCCGGTCTAACTCGATGTATTCCATGATTTGATCGGTATTTGTCGTCACAGGTCTTATCCGGCTGGCTTATCCATGGTGTCGTTTTCACCGGCTCTGAATCATCGAAACCATTCCTCCGCGGTTCGAAGTACCATCCCTCAAAACACCATTAATCTCACGGAAAGTTTCTCTAGCGGATTTGCCTTTAACGAAGGAAAACTTTAAAATAGCGCGAATTTCGGCGTTAGTGAACTCCATGTTTACACGTCCATAACTGTTGTACGCGTTGTTTTGTAGGTTATGTCAAGACCTTTGAAATTATGTATAGTGTTGCCAGATACGAGCTCTGTGGTGCTTTGTACATAGCCGCGAAATTCAAAAGACAAAAAAGCGTAATGGAGATATTTGACAATCTAATATTATTTGCAAGCAAACTGCTGGTCAAAAATACATACATACATACATACAAAAGGTGCACGCAGGGAGAGCGTATAAAAAATTTCAAAATCTTTAGAATTTTTTTAATTTCATACAATTTTTTTCCTCTCAGCAGAAATATTTCATGCCGCATGTATCACAGTGAAACCAACGCACTATTTTCCACACACACACACATACACTCAACCCAAAAGTATGCAACAAAAATATGAGAATTGCGAGTTTTGCATTATTCATTGAAGCATTGCAATGCACCTGGCAGCCGTCACCGTATACATTACTTTGTCCAGTTGTGACATTTTGTGGGTTGCTTAAAGCAGCGTTAAGCTTTGGCATTTTGATTTTGATTACACAATGAAATTTTTATTAGCACATTCACCACGGTGCCATTGTCCATGAACGGTGCGACGCGTGTGCGTGCTGGCATTTGCCACCTGGTTGCATTCCATTGCAACAACGACTATATTAATTGGTATCTGTGGGGCTCAGCGCTGAGTTTTTTGTTTTTTTTGATGAGTTGGTGTTGTTGGCAAGAATTTGTTCCCTCACAATTCCAAAAAGTATGCGTAAAATCTGAAAGAAATGGAATAATACGTACACTTTGTTAGAATTATTTTATTGAGGTTAATAAATTTATAATAATAAAATAATGCAAATATGTGTAAATGCAAGTGGCTGGCAATTACTACATAAGAGATCTCTTAAGGGGTTACAAATTTTTATTATACTATTAATTTCTAGAAAATCTTGAAAGTATTGGATATTAGATACAGCCTTGTGATGAAGCCCCTTCTAGGGCAGGTAGACTCTATGGTTTCAACTTTCGATCTATTTTTCCCGAAACCATGTCTTCAAAGTCAAACTTTCCATAAGTCTTCGGCATACAATTCATCGGGAATCGAGCGGAGGTTTTTTGTTCATACGCAATTATTTATTTAAAAACAATGTTGAGGAAATTCGAACAAAATTTTATTTTTTATAAACAAAATTTGGCAGAAAAAGTTTTTTTTCCCTTTTTCCAAACACTTGTTTATAGTATTAACTAAAACACGATTTTTTTCATTTCAGCTGATGATGTCAAAAATTCTACTTTCAGCCCAGATGCTTCGTTTTCCGGTGGGCTGACCGGAAATAACGTCATAATGAAGGAGTTGTGAATATTTTTTTTTTGGAAAGTATTCAAAAATCTTTTCAAATGAATACAAAAAAAGTCAGAAAAACAAGTTGAAGTTTCCTCAATTTTTTCTTGTTTTATTTAGAAAGTGCTTGTCTGACTTTCCTTCAGCACCGAAAGTTCTTGTAAAAAGTTGTTTAAGTTTCTGTTAATCGCAAATGTGTTAATTTCATTAATTTCCACCTTGAAATATAAAGTTATAATTAATATTTGTCAAATGTAAGATTTCACCTTCATTTACTAAGCATTCTGAACTCACACAAAGGAACTGCTAACCATGAAACAATGCTTATGCGCTAAAAAGTATGCAATATTATTTTCAAACAAATTTGAACAAAAGAAATGCGGGATAAAAATGAATTAAAAGCGATTAAGTCGAATCCTTTTGCTAAGCATAAAATAATAATAAGAGATATAACATAAAGAATGTGGAAACGAAAACAAAACAAAACAAAAAAAATAGAAATAAATCCAAACAGCAGCCAGGGTCATTTCTCATTTAGCGCATTTTATGATTGTATGTGTATGACCGAGGGCCGCTCGTAACGACAATCTACGTGGCGTGCAGCAAATCTGCTTTCATATTTATATTGTCACTGCGGGGATTTACACACCCTGCTGCCCCTAAATACATATACACACATACGTACACATTACATAGCATATTTTTGTATGTATAAAAGATTAGAAAAAACAAAGCTGCATTTCTTTGCAGCCTTTGCCCAATTCATTTATTTTATTCAGCCATTGTGTTGGTATTGTTGTTAATTTTTTTTTTTATAATTTCATTGCAGCAATTTTTTTATTTTATTACGTATGTATGTATGTATATAAATACATATTTGTTTCGTATTTACAGCGCCATTTTGTGAGCTTCAGGCATATTTATCCTTATGTATTGTATGTGCTTGAAATTGTACGAGTATGTTTATTTATGTGTACTCGTATAAGCAACTCACTTTCAGACAAAGCGAGGTTGGAGATAAGAGGTCTTCCTTTGGGGCATGATTAATTAATGAAAATATAAGCCACGTATATATTTACGCGCTCCGTGATTGCTGCTCTGTGTGTATGAGTGGATGTAGCAAATGGCTGTGGTATTTGCTTTTCAAGCTATAAACTGGTCAGGTATGATTGTGGCGTGAGTGATGATGTCAGTAAAGGGTAAACAAATAACAGTGTTGCTGACATTAATGCCATTGGTGTAAATTGTATAAATTTTGAAAGTTTGAAAAGCTCTGATAGATTTTTTTAGAAGTAGGCAAGGTCTGGAAAAATTGAGGTTAGCCCCACAAAAGAATATCTGAAATAACTTTCTGGTGAGCTGAGTTCATATGGTAAAACATTTCATTTATTAGAGGCCAACGAGTGGCTGTTATTGCAACTCCTGCGTCCACAGGAGCCCTGAGACACGGTGAAAAGAGAGAAAGCTTCAGCGACTCGGTCACTCTGAAAAATTGGTCCAAAACGTATGCTGACGTCCAGTTACAACGTCTGTTTAGCGTGCAAGCAGCTGCGAGCGGATGTCGGTGTTGAAGCAATGGCTCACTCTAAAATGTGTCGAAATCTAAACTGAAGTATTAAGATTGTGCGCTGGGTTTTGAAACCCGCTAATAAAAACGAACACCAATAAAAAAGAGACAACAGCTTCAGATGAGAGATCCCTCGTCTGTTAGCGATCACATCAAAAGTACTTAGGACTATGATTTAAAAGCCGGTCTGGTCAGTTTATTACAAATAAAGTAAGACTGGCATGACCGCCACCAAGAAAGTGTGATCCACAGGACAAGGGAAGAAGATAGGTACTTGTGGCTTTTATGTTTGGATTTGTAGTATGACAGTGACTCAAGCCTTGACTGTCGTTCACCAAGGTGGGCAAACCTCTCCCCACAAATCGTTTCAAAACGAAGTAGTAGAAGTTGATTTCCACGAGCTCCTCGACCTTCGTAATGAAACATCCGCAAAGAGGTTGAGGCTGATCGAATTTTCCGGGGTTTGAGATTAGGTCATCCCTTATACCAGATTCTGACTTTTCTGTGTCCAACAATCTGCTCTCGAATGTCACAGATTTGCGCACTCTTCAGAGCCCCAACATCAGCTCGGACCATGTGAACTTTCGGTAAATCATTCTCTGGCAGGCGATCTTCAGCCTATTGAGGGAATCGAAATCACACCGGATTATTTTGAGGCTTCATTTCTTCAATTCACTATACCGAAGCTTTTATGCGAGCGAAATAATGGTGTTGAGTTGACATTGATAGCTGCTCGACGTAGACAAGTGTGGAATAACGAACCGGGTTGGCGAACTCGCAGCACAAACTGCCTGAAAGACGTGGTTTTTCTTCGCGAAACGAATTAGGAAAATTGAAGAGTTTCTGAAGCTCTCAAAATACTGACGTGTTGAATTTACACTTACGGCATAATTAAAGAAGCTCGACCGAAAATTGCTTCAGCGACTACAGATGTTTTATTTTTTTTATATATATATTATAATATTACTATATATATATCTTTCTCTTCGAAAATACAAATTACTGGAAAAATTATAGCCTCGCAGTTTTAATTAAAAAGCCGAGAAGTTTTATGAAAAAAATATTATAAATCTTCCAAAAAATTTGTGTTGTATATACACGTAACAATGTGTGTATGTATATACACTAAAGTCGTCTGAGTTCTTCACATTTTCTTCTACTGAAAATATGTGTTCATGTGTGGAAAAGTTTTTCCTTATAAACTCCTTATAATCTGTGTAGTTCTGTAAATATATGCATGTATATATATCTAGGTGTATGGTTACAAACTTATAAACCGTTATTTACACTTCGTAAAGTTTTTGCGACAGGTGTTGCTTCGCCACCGTAACATATGTTTATATCCATGGTATATAGTTCATAAACACACATTTATATATACATACATTTGTATGTATCTACGAGCGTGTATTCAAAGTAAATCAAATGCTTACTTGCCAACTGCAAAACTAAAAGCAACAAAAACACTAATGCTAACGTAAACTGAACAACACCAAACTCTCTCTCTAGTCTACACACATACATATTTATACTTAAGTATGTGGTTAGTTTGCGAAAATGAAATTAGAAAAGTGAGTGTTAACGATGTAGAGATGGCACCTATGGCTAGAAGTTCAAATATAATGCCACGCTGGTATCTGTGGCTTCATTTGTATTCAATCTGACCTCTAGGACACATGGACGGTTCGAGGTGAGCTCCGAAAGACTTCCTTTGAGCTATTTGTATTTGGGGAAGGTGTAGTTGTTGCAAATAGTTTCATTCAGTAAAGCTTCAAGGATATATAATTTTGTCTCGGCAACTTATGCCTGCCCATATTTATGTACTCGCACACATAGTGATGAAAAGTCGTAAAATTTTTCTTACACGGTAACTTTGGACTTTTACGTAAATGTTTATTTGTATATATTGTACATACTTAGATGTGTATTATATATTTCTGAGGGTTGGAGAACTTGAGTTTAGTGCGTAAGTAAAACTTTACTCGAAAAGTTTGAAGAACTTCGGTTATGTTAATTTTCTAAGAAAATAAAGTCCTCCCACTCAGTGTGGGAGCTGAGTGCGTGCTTAGGCAATAAGGTAAAGAAGAGGATTTAATTAGGTACACATACATATACATGTATATGTATACATACTGGTAAGACCGTAGTAAATATAAGATTGTACTTGTTTTCAAAAAATACCAAATTATTTAGAAAAATATATTCAAAAATTTAAATAAACATCGCATTTCTAATAAAAGAAGTAATTAACAAATCAAAGCTATAAGAAAATATATATTGTACAACCACCTATAAATGCATCATTGTCTAATTAGTCGGTCGGTGAAGACTGAGCTGATTCAATTGATCATATGAACTAACACTGGTCTAGCAAAGAACGGAAGAGGTAACTACGGAACACAATAATCTGGCATCGAAAGCATGCAAATCCGATAGCAGCGATCAGTATTAGTAGAATTCTGCGCGCTGTTCCAATACTGATATTGAAAATTATCTTGAAAATTGTTGTCATTTTAAGAACCTCAGTGAATGAAGTTTCTGAAAGAAAGTCACCATGGACTTTGGACTTAAGATGTGATGAAGCGTCACCAGCAAATCACAAGATCAAAGCACTTTTGCAATACACTAAAGGCCAGAGTAACAACTCGATCAGGCTGGTTTAAGAAGCGGTCGCTGTGGAACCAGGAAATACGACATAAAAGTTGGTACAGGTCGGCAGGCAGTGTATTGCGGTCTTCCCTCAGGCAGATGTATCCAGCATCAATGTGGAAGAAGTTGGGATTATAAATATAAGAAGTGACGTCCTTTAAGGGGGCCCTCCTCTGATATTGGGCAAAAATTAAACAAAGTTTGTATTTTTTTTTTCT